GTGTACCAAAAACGATTTTTTCACTTTAATAAGGGAAGGCTGTCTCTATACATTGTAGCACTTAAACATGCTGTAGGTTCTTTGGAACTAAATAGTATAATTTTTGCTAGCAAAAAAGCAGTGAGTCACTATGCCCACAAGGGGGAAGAACACCCCGTTTATTGTAGACAACAGAAATGTCACAAACAGTCAATACTTCCCGCACTCACATACAACGCCCACGTGGTAGCTGAAGCAACTCATAACAAAGTCACAGACACAAGGAGGAAAGGGAAAAGTAGAAAAAAAGAGAACTGTATTATAACATGTACAATAGCAATGAAATCACATCATCCTGTCTCTGTCTGAGCAGCCTCCCAGTCTATGTTATGTAACCCTGAGACCTCTGGTCCCTACCCAGATGGTCCTGCGGGCTGGCATACATTGACCATACAGGGCACTCAATGAGCAGGCAATTGTCTCTCTGTGCCTTTGTGGCGACTATGAGCACTTGCGGTAAACTGTGCCTAAAGGTTGCACTGGGGCCCTCCCCATGTCTTAATTAATATCCATTTAAACTGAATATTTTATTCAAAACCGTATGCTCAAACTGGAAACTACTGATGTTACAGTAAATGTCAGCAAAAACAGGAACAAGCTGACCTGCTGAAAGGTGAATTTTTTTAGCAGTTTCAGGTCTGAAGCAGTTTTCCCCTAAGATTTGCCAATACGGTACTTTGTGCTCAAATCACTTTCAACAAACCTCACAGTCCCAGCGGATGAGAAGCAGAACTGTAACATGTAGCTGCCACCGCCATGCTTGGCAGTGTTGATAGTGCTGGCTGAGTGATGTGACTCAATATATTGCATTTGTGTCAGATGTAACACTTTGCATTTAAATCAAAAGCTAACCGTTTTTTCTTGTCTCATCACAAAATCTTTTGGCACACATATTTAGTACTACTTAGGTGTGTTGTTAGTTACCCCATGTGGAATTTGAGATGTTTGTTTTTTAGTTCCATACAAGCGCGTTTGTGGAGTGACTGGACTATTGTGGATATTTTCTTCCATCCCAGCTGCTGGACCCTAAATCTTTCATAGTCATCACGGTGGCATTCCTGCTCACTTTCCACTTTACCCAGCTGCTTGGTTTTGAGAAACAGCCTGATCTAAGCAGTGTCTTCTTCGTAGTGATCGATTTCACAACGCTCAAAGACATACAGTACTAAATGCCGTTGAAATGTTTTTACGCTCCTCACTTGATCTTTGCATTTATATAAATTTATTCATGAATTGTTTTGAATTCAGTACATGACTGAGTGGTCTTACAGAGCTAGGTGTACAGTAATTACTCTGCAAATAAGAGAACCATTATTCCTGCTGTAGGGAAAACCGGTTCAGGGACGCCAAATATGTAATCATAGTGGCTCTCTGAAGGCACCAGTTCTG